GTGTGTGTGTGTTAGGGAAGTGGGAGAAATGTGTTTGCCATTTCAAATCAATAAATGAACTGAGGTTCAGCTATTCTTCCAAATGTGCACTTCTCTACATGTTGCAGTTGTCTCATCAAAAATGCAAATGCAAGTACACATATAAATATAACATTTAAAATGCATTACATTAGAAAATTGCTTGGGATACTGTGTATTCTAGGGAAAGTGCATGTATTAGGAGAAATGTGCACCAAGTTTCAAACAAACTGTTTTTTTAATTCCCAAATTTTGCAGTGGACTGAACTGAAAAGCAGAATCATAGAGCCTGGCAGGTCCAATTGGGGTGCTAGTGTGCCCATGGGATGCTAACAGTGGACATCTACATGGCAACTGAGTAACCTCCAGATGTGTCTTACTGCAGCTTCCATCATCCCCAGAGATCACTGTGGTTCAAAGGACTGATGTAAAGCATGATGGGAAATTTAATGTAACCCTTGTTTTATTTTTCCATTGCCCTCACGAACCTACTACAATGTCACTTCCCCCTTTTTGTATTTTCTTCTTTTTAGATCCCAGACTGAACCCAGTAAGCAGTGTTGATCAGTTCCCAAATTTCTGATAACAATTGAAAATTTGCAAATGGCATGGATGGCTTTCAAACAACAAATTGCTTGTATATGTGAGAGAGAACTTGCTTTGGAACTGGTCCTGGCTTGGGAGCTTTAATACTTTGCCTTTCTGCTGCAGTCTTGATTTGAACTGGGGCTCCAGCACTAGCATTGGGGGTGGGTGGTGGGTGGGGAGGGAAGCTCCAATCTCGCAACAAGTGATAGGCTTGCATAATTTTTGGTTTTCTCGGGGTTTACACTGTATTTTCACATACATCCTGCAAAAGCTAGTATTCTGGTGGTGGTGAGCCTATCTGAATTGTTATTGTATTTGGATTCTGGCTTATGAAAGGATCAGCACAGCATTTCTCTGGGTTCTCCCTGTCACAACAGGTAGGCTATGTAAGGCAGGGTGGGCAGGGTGCCCTTCCGCTTACCTGTAGGTGAAGGAAACTTTGTGTAATTGGATGCTTTAACCTTTGAACAGATTTCCTCTTTAGAAGGTGGGAACAGGACACAGTTACTGGCAGAAATTCTTTTTATCAATTATTCTTGATACAGTTTGACAAAATGAAAATAAGAATGAAGAGACATGAGTGTTTTGGAAATGTGTCTCATACATTTGATTTCCCACATTTTGGAGGGCATGTGTGAACTTTCATCCCATACTGAATAAATATGCAAGGGGTGGATGGGAAGTGATTCCCATCTGGACTGTGGCCAGATACTGTCCTTCTCTAAATGCCATGGTCTTCCTCTGCCTCCCACTTCCCCACTATTCAGATATTTGGGAGTGTAAAATCAACTACCCAGAACAAACTCCATGCCAAGCTTCACACTGCATTTGATCCTATAATCCAAGGACGGATCACCGTGTCCTCCAGGTTGCTTATGATTATTGTGTTTGCTTCCTCTGCACAATTGTCACATCAATAATTCTTTGGAAATGAGCCATTTGGCTTAAGTGCTGACTCTGTTACTTTATATATATATATATGTATATTATGCAAGCTTTGAAGGAGAACATCCAAGGAAGAATCATGCTGCACCATTGCTTCCTCTAAACGGGGTTTGGGGCTACTTCTACAAGTGCTGATGATGCTTTAGAAGGAAAAATCGTGAAGTTCTGAACTGTTTCCAAGCTTTCGTAGAACTCGCTAGCATTGCTTGTTTTCAGCTGATTCAGCACATTGCATGGATTGCTCCATTCTTTAAAACTCCTGATGTACAGATTTTAAGGAGGTAGTTGAATATGGTAGATTCAGCAGTGATGTGAGAAGGTCACACCTCACAATTCTGGGTTTTTAAAATGAGGTTTGCCTTTACATTTTCTCATGCTATACTTTGGCACAAGGGAAAACATGTTGCAAGGCAGGGGGCAGGCTTAAAGGGGGCCCTGTTCTCATTGCACCTCCAACCAGCCCCACTTTGGGTGCACATGCAGGTAGCATCTGCAGGTGATTGCTGGTGGGCACAAGTGAATTTAAGCACCCTTCCCTCCATCCACTGATCTTCCCCTGCACTCATCCCAGCAAAAGAGACTTGGGTCAGTTAGCAGCTAATCCCATTCACTTGAAACACCCCTCTGGGGAGAAGTCTGCAAGCTCTCATCCCAAGGTTGCTCAGTGTACCTAATCTCAAAGGTGATGTGGGGCGATGACTGTGAGCTTAGATGGCTATAAGGATAACAATAGTAATAATGGGAAGATCAGAGCAGTCTTTTCTGCAGTATATGATGTAGCACACTGTCCACTTTTCTATGTAAGGCATTTATCTTGTTCTCAGGACTCCTCACTCACAGTAGCTCGCAGTGCTTCACACAACATCCTCCTCCTCCAGGGCTTCTCCCATATTCTGCAATCATTATAGCCTCTTCTGATTGAGGAAAATGTGGTATTGTATAGAAATGGCACAAGGAGAAGCATGCACATTTTCACAATTCTTCTATGCTGCACTGCCCCCTTGTGGGGATGTAATGGAATGAAGAGAATAGCTGAGAAAGACACATACATACCCTGACCTCAGGAAACAGGTGTTAAGGAGCTGATTTTCATTCTGCAAGGACTCCAGGAGCAGACACCTCAGCAGAGTTGTAGCTTTAAAGCCTCATGTAGAAGCACTGTGTGCTGGGTGGGACAAAGCAGGGCATGGGAGAGTCAGGGGCCCTGGGACTATCCAGGAGGCTGGTCTACCGCAAATATCAGAACTAGAGAACAAACCAGGAGGCAGATCCAGGAACAAGCTGGAAGTCACTCTGGGGGGTGCGTACCTCAGTGCCGCTTAGCATACAGAAGCTCTGAAGTTCAGTCCTTAACACCTTTGGCATGGCTGGATAAACTCTTGCCCGAAACTCTGGAGAGCCATGCCTGGCAGTATCTGTTGCCAGCAATGGGCTAGATGGACCCATGATCCGAATTGGGATGAGGCAGCTTCCTATATTTTACAGTCCGGACCAACAAATAACCATAGAATACAGAGACATTCAAGGACTCAGGATGCCTTGTTACTGAAGCAAGGCTCAGGTACCACAGGAAGGCCTCTTTATACTCCTTCCTATCAAGGAGATATTAAGGCCTGGCTCAGGTAGTCAGAGTTAGTCCAGGACCCAAGGATATTTCTCTGAGAAGCTGATGCCTGCAGTTCAGAGGTTCACCACATGAGGCAGCTCAGATATCCCCATTTATCTTCAGAAGAGTATAGAGGGAAACCCGAGTAACTGATGTTTCCTCTTTTGTCTTTATTGAAGCACAGGCAGGAAAGAATGAGAAATACGTGCAGGAAGTATGAATTTTTGGTTTTGTTTTCTCCACCCTGAAAATAAAACTGGCTTTTACAAGGATCAGTTTTGTGAGAACCACTGTGGTGTAGTGCTTAGACTGCTAATGTGGGATCCTGGAAGATTTGGGTTCTAGTCCCCACTCAGCCATGAAGCTCTCTGGGTGAGTTTGGGCCAGTCACTCAATCTCAGTCTGATTGGATCTCAGCACTCAATCTCAGCCTGTCCTCCCTCACAGAGCTGCACATGCTAGGGAAAGAGGCAAGATATAAAAGTGAAATGAAATCATTGCCAGTATTATTGTCTATTCAGAGAGGGCATGGTGGACCTGCAGCCCGCTGCATGCTGTTGTACAGCAACTCCCATAATCCCTGATCATTGGTTACACCTATGGGGCTGATGAGAGCTGTAGTCCAATAACCACTGTGCTGCTAGAAGTTCTTAATCTCTGCTTTAGAAATTACATTTTTCCTTTGTGCACTCCATAACCTTGAGCTGTTCAAGAACCAGTCCTTTGCAACCAGTTCTTGTTTTTTTATTGCAATTTGAATTTTTGTATCCCACTAGGGAACTTGTTGAAGAGGGGAGAAAAAATCTTTAAAATTAATAGATAAATATCTGTAGCTCTGGAAACACAAAATTGAAAGTGTGTGTGTGTGTGTGTGCGCGCACACACACACACACACACTATATTTCATCTAAATGTAAGCATAGTGCAACAAAGTGGTGAGAAGGACAGTTGTAAAACTGATAATAAGCAAATAAATCAGATTTCAAGCAACATTTCAATTTTGGCATTGGAGTAGATTTTGTGTGTGTGTGCATATATGTGTGCACATGTGAGTGAACAGAAGACTCAAAAGCTCCTATCCAGCAATTTTCTGTGAGCATTATTGTTGCTGTTGTGTGCTGTCAAGTCATCTCCAACTTATGGTGACCCTATAAATGAAAGCCCTCCAAATTGTCCTGTCCATGACAGCCCTGCTCAGCTCTTGCAAACTCAAGGCTGTGTCCTATGGAGCCAATCAATCAAATACTTGGCCATCTTTTTCTTCTTCTGTCTTTGGCTGTCCCTAGCATGATTGTCTTCTCCAGTGAGTCTGGCCTTCTCATGATGTGCCCAAGGTATGACCATCTCAGTATTGTAATTTTTTGTTCCCAGGGAAAGTTCTGCCTTGACTGGATCTAGGAACCACTTCATCTTTCCCTCTGCAGGGGTATTCATAAAGCTCTTCTGCAGCATCATGTTTTGAATATATTAATTTCCTTCTTGTCAGTGTCCGGCTTTCACACCCATACACAGTGATCAGGCATATGGTAGTATGGGTCTCCAGTAAAGTGTTCTCATACTTGATGATCTTTTCTAGTTCCTTCATTGCTGCCCTTCTCAGTCTCAGACATCTTCGAATTTCTCTGCTGCAGTCTGCTGTTAAATTGATGACTGAGCCAAGCTATGCAACATGGTTCAGTTTCAATTTCTTCGTTGTTAACAGCTCTGTGAGCACAGGGAGTTCAAATATGTGCACCACAATGCACATTACTTAGTGTCTTTCCCCCCTTCCTCCAGATCAGTTTGATTCCTTAAAACGTGCAATTGAGAAATATTAAAAGAAAACCTGAGGCTTGTTCATTTGTTTGCTTGTTTATTTCAATCTACATGTCAAGCCAAACTTCAAGGAGTACAAAAGAACAGTTTGTTTGCCCTGGAAATTTGCAAAATCACATCCACTTGCTTGAGTTGCAGGTTCTGTAAAATCATTCAAATGCCAGGAGTTTCTAAATGGACACGATGTTGAAAATCAGTCACAATTTATGGGATGATGCTGAGTGAATCATTTTTAAAAGGAAAGAAAGACTAAGAGGCTTCTCCAGTATGACTTTGCAAGTTTAAAAGTGACACTTGGAAGGTCTCTTTGACATGCTCACAGTTCTTCCTGTGTGTGCACATCAGGGTAAGGCCTGTGCTTTTGGGCAGTTAGGCTGTCACTTCCTTTCTGCCTTGGGGATGTTGGGAAGATGCTCAGGTGCGCCACTGATGCTCTGACCTTGCGCCCGGCAAGGGCTTTTCACAGATATAGTAGCACTGGTAAGTGCAGTAGACGTCATTCCATTCCCCATTGCCCCAGAGATGTGCGCAGTCCTCTCCATGGGCATCATCATTGGGCTCCCCTTGCTTCCAGTACCTGGGGTTAAACATAATATGCAATTTAAGTGTTTTCAATCAATTCCACTTATAATAAAATCTTGAACCATGCAATCCTATGTCCCCCAGACAATGCCTAGGCAGCCATAGGATTTTTCAGATTTCCATCTCTGAGGTTGGAGCCAAGCTTGGAGCACCCTTCTCTTTGCTGCCAGTGCAAAAGCAACCTTAAAGAAAAGGCTTAGGGGGCATTCCAGGGAGAGGCATCCCCAGCAGACAATGTATCCTGGCGATGCTTCTTCAGCCTCCTCCTCTCCTCCTCTGAAGCCTGCAGGGCATCAAGCCCCTTTGCAGGATGAGAAGAAGACCAAGGCTCTTTTCCCTGCCCCACTTGTACTCCTCCAAGACAGGTTGTATCCTGAGTGGTTTACATTGAACAATTATATTGGATCTGCTGTATCTGCTTCTGGTTTCAGCATAGAACTGAGATCTGAGCTCTACCCAAAGAGCTTTCCCTGCCTTTCCAGTCTATAACCTCTACATTTGACATTTGAAAAACAGAAGTAAAAATGACTTCCGGTTGACGTCACGGCGAGACAGCTGTGGAGAACGGGGATCCTGTACTTCACATTGTGAGAAATGAAAAATTACTGTTACTAAGTGGTAAGGTCAAAACCAAAGAAAGGGTGAAATACAGGGCTAGGGTAGGATCATTGAAGTCCCTTAAAGCCAAAGGGCCTGAGGATAGAACCATGTAGATAGTTGTAATAAAAGTAATAGTGCTTCTTACTTCAAAGTCCTGAAGAACACTAGGGGGGTGAAATTGGGGGGCAGTGGTAAATTGTCACTTTCAATGGAAGAGAGCAGGAAATTGATTGCCTTTTACAACTGGCCGTAATGAGCCTGGAGGAAGGCCTGTTCGTCCTATCTCATCCTCCCACAAGATTTAGGAAATAAGTGGGCATCAAGAGAGAGGCTTCAGGGTGAAGCCGACCTGTTGAACTTTTAGAAGGTAGTGTGCACGCTTAATAGGTTCATGAACAGTAACTGACACACCTCTCATAGGTAATGGGCTCATTAGCATGAACATGGGATGTATGAGCGGGAGGGGGGAACCTATCGAGGAGTAGTATGATGTAGGCGGATGGAGAAGATTGTGACTTCTTAGTAACCCAGCCAATGGGAGAAAAGAGGTAGGGTCTGCGAGCTGGGAAAAGGGAATAAAAGCCATGTCTTGTGTGTAAATGGTGCGCTGTCTGTGTGGTGGGCGCCCACTCTTACAAGAACGTATTAAACTATTACTGCTTGGTACTTTGCCTCCGTATCATCACTACTGGGATTTCATTTCCTACAACATCAAAATCCATTCTAGAGAGGGCCCTGGGAGGCCCATCCAATCCCTGTCGGGGCAGGGATTAGAAGCCCAAGCATACCCACAGGGAGATATTCTGGGAAATTCTCAGTGAATGGAGAGAGAGGTGTGCACCCTCCCCCACCACAAGCTGCTGGCACCGGATAAGTAGCAAAGGAAAAAAAAAAAAAAGAAGCTTAAAAGTGGGCATCGGATCTGCTGGGTGAGCATTCAAATCTTTCAAAATACTGCCCGTGAAAGAACCTGTGAAATAACTATCAATCTGAATAACAAAAGAAAGGCCCTCTTGATGGAGGGAGGAAACTTCTCCCTGTGGAGTTCAAGCGGGGACAAATCTAGGGGAGATTAAGTGAAACTGGGGAAACTTGAGACTTGGAAGAGAAGGTATTTTTTTATGTTTAATCTCCAGAAGGGTGAAGAATTAAATTTGAACTTATTGTATATTAATTGGTAGAAAAAGTTCTCTTTCTGTTTCGTTTTTGTATCTCTTTCGATATGGTGATTTGATCATTCCAGTTTCTGCAACAAATAACCTTTTGCTGCCACCCTGTGGTCATTTTATCCTTTAACAGATGCATTGTTTGCCAAAAATAATTTATTTTCCTTTTTTCCTCTCTTTGTGATTTTTTGCTGTTATTTAGTGGCCATTTAGTACCACAAAAGGTAATCTAAAAATTGCTTCAATTAAACTTTTCACTTTCATCAGGGAAAAAATGCACCCATCATCTTTGGCACCTACGTCTTCTTCCCAAAGCCCAACATATCAGTTAAAAACTGTAGATTTGGGAAAATCTCAAAAAGACATACAAATGACATTTTTGACAATACAATCATCTCGAACATCTATGCAAGCATCTGAAGAATTTGCTATACAAGAATTTGCTTTGGAACAAAAGGAAAGGCTGGATAAATTGGATAGTCATGTCTTGAAGATAATGAATCAACTTGTAGGTTCGTGTATTAAAATAAAACAAAATGAACAAAATATACAAGAAGTGAAAAAGAAGGTTGATGATTCTGATAAGAAAATTGAAAAGATGGATCAAGAGATGCAACATCTAACACAAACAAGTCATTATGGGATTCAGTTGCTATATTGGAGAGATTTCAGAATACACCAGAAGCAAAAAATGAAAACCTAAGTGGTTTAATAAACATTGTGCTAGCAGATGCTCCTGCTTTGGAAAAGGAAGAGACTGATAAACAGCTTGACCTGGTTTTTAGAGTCAACTTAAGCTATGTTAGAAGTCATAAATTTCCAAGGGAGAATGGATAATTCTAAGGGAATTTGATATCTTGAAGGGCATGATTTACAAATGGGATGGCATGCTTATATGTGGTAAGGGTATTGACATTTCTTGGTGGCACAAAGTTCAAATACGATTGAGATATGTGAAGACTATAGAATATATGATTTTATAAAGGAATTAGCGACATTTGATTAAATGCTTTTAAAATCAGATGAAAGAATGATTAAAGGATTGTATAACTTTCTTTTGGGTATAAAAATGAAAGATGAATGAGTTAAGGAAACTATGCTAATATGGGCATAATATGTTGGATATAACATTGAGTTACAGAAACGGCAAAAGCTGTAGGAAAGAAATATTAAGGAAATCTTGGTTTTTCGGCGCCAGGTAAAGACCTTTTTATTTAAACATCATTTCAATTGTTAAAACATATGATCTGGCCAGGGCAACTTCTTCTTCCTTCTCTTTTTCCCCCTATATTTTTATTTTATACTGATAATTTTAATTTTATATTTGTAAATCAATGTATTTTTTGTATTTTTATATTTAATGGTAATTTATTATGTACTATTGTATTTCAATGTATTTTATCATGTTGTAAGCCGCCCCAAGGTTTCGGCAAGGGGCGGCATAGAAATGTAATAATAATAATAATAATAATAATAATAATAATAATAATAATAATAATATAAAGAAAACCTATATAAATGTTTTACAGTTAGATAGACATAGATATTTTATAGTTTTTATCACTAAATAGATTAGCAAAAATGTTCTCAAATATGTCAAATAGATGTTGGAAATGTAAACACAAATTTAAACCTGAAGACTTTTCTCTTTTTTATTATTAGATATTATTCTTAATGATTTTGATAAATAAGCTATATATTAGATCTTACATGTAAGTGGTGAGGATTCTATTTGCTCATTACTGGAGGAGTGAAGAGCCACGCACTGAAGAATTGATCTTAAAAAGGATCTTGGATTGCATGGAAAGGGACAGATTGACCTTGTCTCTGAAGGAGAATGCATATCTCTACCAAACTTGGAACTCTTTTTAGTATCAGTTAGAGAAACCGGACTATGCATAGATTTAACTATCTCTTGGCGCAGCAGCAGAGCAGCAGAAGCACAGGCTGGGAGAGAGTGCTGAGTGGCCAGGGGAGTGGCGAAGGCAAGGTAGGAGCTGGGCAGAGGACCAGAGGGCCAGGAGCAGCAGAGAGGAAGGGCATCGTCCCTTGTCTGGGTCCCTTGGCTGCAGCCAGGGCTGACAGGAGACTCCCTTCCCTGAGACACAGAGGTTTGATTGTTTGTTTGTTTGTTTTTGCTTGTGCTGTGCTGTGCTTTGTTTTTCTTCCAATTTAAATTTTATTTCATCCTTGTGTGTGTGTGTGGGTTTTTGTCTGGGAGAACTGGGCAAGTGAGAAGAACTGCAGGAGAAACAAGGCGGGGGACCAAGGTTGGATCTTGGAAGGGATCAAAATGGCAGACCAAGAGGTGCCCTTGGCAGGAGTCACGGGTGTTCCTGTCCGCTGCAACAGCTGCAGCCTGTTTGCCCTTCTCCCCCAGGAGAGGCAGGGATACACTTGCCCTCAGTGTAAGCTGGTGGTCCTGCTAGAGGAGGAGTGGAGGTGCCTGAGGGCCAAGAGAGCTCTCCAGGCCCCCCAGGAGCAGCCCCCCTCTGGACAGAGGGTTGAGGGAGACACCATGGGAGGAGCAGCCAGGGTGACATGGAGGCATGTCCCCCACAGGAGGAGGAGGCCAGCACGGCCTCCTCCTTCTCCTGGCACCAGTCTGGAACTGGGAAACAGGTTCTCTCCACTTGGGGAGGCTGGGGCTGATGAGGCCTTGGGGGACCAGCAGGACCCCCAGCCTGCGACAACAAGCAGCAAGGGGGCCACTGCAGGAGAGGCGAGGGCCAGGGCACGACCGCCCACCACCACCGGGAAGACACGGCGGCGAGTGATTGTTGTTGGGGACTCCCTGCTGAGGGGCACTGAGGCAGTGGTATGCCTCCCCAACTTGGAGACGAGGGAGGTTTGCTGCCTGCTGGGCACACGCATCCAGCATGTGAAGGACAGAGTGGAGCATCTTGTTCGCTCTGGGGGTCACCAGCCACTCCTGGTGATCCATGTAGGCACAAACGACGTGGCCAGGCAGGGTATGGTCAGGATTACCAGGGACTTTGAGGCCTTGGGGAAGAAACTCAGGGAGCTGAAGGTCCAAGTGGCCTTCTCGTCGATCTTACCTGTCCGAGGATTTGGGCCAGGAAGGGACAGGAGGGCCTCCGAGGTGAATGACTGGCTTAGGGTGTGGTGCCAGAAGGAATGCTTCGGGTTCCTTGACCATGGCACCCGGTTTCTTGCCAATGGACTTCTGGCAAGGGATGAGTTACACCTCACAAGGATGGGGAAAAGGTCCTTTGGAGATGCTTTAG